AAGGGCAAGTCTCCATGTTATACAGATTTTAAAATTTGCCAGCTTCACATAGTCCTCCTTATCTTTGTCAATCCTTGTCAATTCCTAGGAAATAGCACAGAAATAAAACTCTCCCTTAGGGTATGGAACTGAGGTTATTTATCAGATTTGTCTGTCTCATATTCCTTAAGGTCAAGAAAGAGGCTATATGACCCTGGGAAAATTATTTAGTTTCACTGTGCCTCAGTTTTATCATCTGTAATATGGGTAAAATAATACTATTTATCAGAGGGAGTATTTATGAAATTCAAGTGACACAGAACCAAATTAGTTCAGTGCCTGGATACAGTAAATGCTCAATAACTGTTTGTGATTCGTATCATTATTATTGTTACTGATTTCATTGCACATGACCATCTGAATTTTTCCCATCCTCGCCTGTGCTTGCATTCGTGCTAAGTCGCTTCAGTCATATCCAACTCTTTGCAACCCTATGAACTGTAGCCCATCAGGCTCCTCTGTTCATGGGATTATCCAGGGAAGAATAATGGAGTGACTTGCCATGCCCTCCTCCAGGGGATCTTCTCAACCTGGGAATCGAACCCATGTCTCTTAAATCTCCTGCACTGGCAAGTGGGGTCTTTACCTCTAGCACTACCTGGGAAACCCACCTACTGCTGCTACTGCTGCTAAGTCACTTCAGTCGTGTCCAACTCTGTGTGACCCCATAGACGGCAGCCCACCAGGCTCCTCTGTCCCTGGGATTTTCCAGGCAAGAATACTGGAGTGGGTTGCCATTTCCTTCTCCAAACCCACCTATGATTATCGCTACTTTCAATGAATAGAAACAATACTTGAGCCTAGGCTTGTGAGGCATATTCCAGAAAGTTCTAAAGAGCTTTTTTACTAGCATCCCCTTAGACATCAGCAGGTATGATGGATCCAGTCTGGCCTTTGGCCATTGCTGAGGCTACAGGCATGGCGTGTATCAGGGAAGCCCAGAGAAGTAAGTTCTCTAAAAAGAGACTACAGTGCAGTGTTTCTCCAGGGATTATCAGCTTCATGACACAAATTATGTGAAAATGGGCCAAGTCACATTGAAACTGGGTTAAAAATCATTGAACTGCAGATGTGTCCATGGTAGTAGCATCCACAAAGGTCAGCATCAGAATGACTTAATAAAGACCATCCAAGGCCTCATGAGCACCCTCTGGTTACCACAGTGTAGAAATCCTGTGCCTCTCCTGAACCTAGCACCTTATGGGGGAAAGGATGGTAGGACACTGTTATCCAGTGGTCCCCAACCTCCAGGATCTAATGCCTGATTCTCTGAGGTGGAGCTGATGTAATAATAATAGAAATAAAATGTACAATAAATGCAATGTGCTTGGATAATCCCCAAACCACTCCCCATCCCAGCCCCAATTCTTGGAAGAATTATCTTCCACAAAACCAGCTCCCGCTGCCAAAAATGTTGGGGACCACTAATGTCCAGCATCTCTAGGATCCTTCCCATATTGTTTGCAGGGCCTGCCTTCTTTTCACCCCAGCACTGTGAACTGAGTGCTTTCAGAAATATGTCTGACAAATCTCTCTCCAAGGCTATGATGATATCTTGTGCCTTTGGCAAAGATCTGTTGAATAAATGTATTAACAAACAAACAAAAAAGATAGTGTTTGTTCACTGGGATATAAAATGCTCATTTATGGTCTTGCATGACAAAGCATGTAAGCATATGGTAGCTGCCAAGTTTGCCTGCAGGTAAAACAGAAGCAGGTAATTCTGGTCTTGCCATTTTGCCCTGTCTCCATCTGCTCTTTTATATCTCATAGGTGAAAAGCTTTGTTCTCTACACTAGTTTTCCCTGTTAAAATGTTAGTTGTTGTTAGATTAATTATGTTTCCATATGGCTTGCAATTGCAATTATCTTTTTTAAAAAAATCTGGCTATTGATTGTGAAAACTGATAAGCATCTTTTACTATTGAAAAAAAAGATACAGTTCACATACCCTTAAAATCTGTTTTCAAAGTGAAAAAAGAAGTTAGCTGTTAGTAGTGCCAGTTTACCAAATATTGGGAGTAAGCAGGCCAGATTTTCATATTGAAGAAAAAGGATTTAAACTTAATATTTTCAGGAGATTTTTCTCTCTTCGCAGACACTAGGCATTGAAATGAGCACTGGAATTAGGAGAAATAAGTGAGATTAGCATGGATTTTAAAACAACTTATTATTTATTTTTGTCTGTGCTGGGTCCAGTCCATCCTAAAGGAGATCGGTCCTGGATGTATATTGGAAGGAATGATGCTGAAGCCGAAACTCCAATACTTTGGCCACCTGATGCGCGGAGCTGACTCATTTGAAAAGACCCTGATGTTGGGAAAGATTGATTGCAGGAGGAGAGGGGGATGACAGAGGATGAGATGGTTGAATGGCATCACCGACTCAATGGACATGGGTTTGGGTGGACTCCAGGAGTTGGTGATGGACAGGGAGGCCTGGCATGCTGCGGTTCATGGGGTCGCAAAGAGTTGGACACGGCTGAGCAACTGAGCTGAACTGGGTCTTCACTGCTGTGTGCAGGCTTCCCCCAGTTGTTGTAAGCAGGGCTACTTTCTGGTTGGGGTGCACGGGCCTCTCACTGTGGTGGCCTCTCTTGCTGGGGAGCATGGGCTCCAGGGCTCAAAGGATTCAGCAGTTGTGGCTCATGGGTTCCAGAGCAGGGGCCCAGCAGCCATGGTGCATGGGCTCACTTGCCCCTCAGCAGGTGGAATTGTCCCCCACACAGGCAGGTGGATTCCTAACCACTGGACTGCTAGGGAGGCCTTACCATGGAGTCTTCATGTATTCTTTAGGGCTTGAATTTTGTGCACTTTTGTATCTGTTAGGGTATTTTCATCCTCAAGGCATAAACTGACTAAAATAGCTCAAATAAGAAAATGCATTATCTCATGTGTACTAAGTCGCTTCAGTTGTGTCCAACTCTTTGGGACCCCATAGACTGTGGCCTACCAGGCTCCTCTTGTCCAGGGGATTCTCCCGGTAAGAATACAGGAGTGGGTTGCGATGCCCTCCTCCAGGGGATCTTTGTGACCCGGGATTGAACCCACATTTCTTACGTCTCCTGCACTGGCGGGCAGGTTCTTTACCACTAGCACCACCTGGGGAGCCCATGCATTGTCTCATGTGAAGAGCACATCCAGAGTCAGGCTGATGGTTGAACCAGTAGCTTGAGGATGTCACGCAACAGCAGGTATTTTCCATCTCTGCTCCCTGCTGTCTTTGGTTTTGTTTTTATCATTAGGCAGAGGAATGATACAGGGATAAGATACACTTATGAATATGTCCCATGGAAGAAGAGAGACATCCTCTGGCCTTCTTTTCCTGAAGTGAGGAATCTTCTCATATACTCCTTTGTGGACTCTCCCTCCGTCTCACCAGAATATGCTCATATTCTCATTTCTCAGCCAATGTTAGCATAATGCATGTGTGTGTGCTAAGTCGCTTCAGTCATGTCCAACTCTTTGCAACCCCATGAACTGTGGCCTGCCAGGCCCTTCTGTCCATGGAATTCTCCAGGCATGAATACTGGGTGTGGGTTGCCATGCCCTCCTCCCGGGGATCTTCCCAGACTAGGGATCAAATCTCCATCTCTTATGTCTCCTGCATTGGAAGGCAGGTTCTTTACCACTAGTGCCACCTGGGAAACCTATTAGCAGAATACTGTAGCTGTTGCTAAGTAGCTTCAGTCGTGTCCGACTCTGTGCGACCCCATAGACAGAAGCCCACCAGGCTCCCTCGTCCCTGGGATTCTCCAGGCAAGAACACTGGAGTGGTTTGCCATTTCCTTCTCCAACACATGAATGTGAAAAGTAAAAGGAAAGTCGCTCAGTCATGTCCGACTCTTAGCAACCCCATGAAATGATATTTTAAAATAAAAGATATTTTAAAATAATGATATTTTAAAATAAAATGAATACCAGGAGAAAAAATTCTGGGAGAGAGATTTGATTCCCAAAAATGAGAGACAAATTTTCTAAAATAGCACAGGGAGAGAAATGGTTAGGAGGTAGATTGAATATTTATCTAGACCGGGAAGGTGGCCCAAGGAAAAGAAGAAAATAAAAAAATCATATATTTATTCATCCTCCTGAGTCAGGCATAACATGTAACCATGGTGATCATTCCAGTTGAACCTACTGTCTGCTCTACAACGTCCTGCGAAACGCCGTGGAGTTTGGTTGAGCTAAGATTCGTGGCAGAAGGCAGAGTAGCACACTGCCATAAGCTTTGGGTACTATAAAGTGACTGGAGAGTAAGATGTTGCAGCTCTGTAATCAGGTGGTTCATTATGTTTAGTTTCTGGAAACAGTTTTTCATTGAGAAATTCTAACCCTTAAAAAAAAAAAAAACTACACCAGACATAAACTAAGTAATATTTTTTCCTAAAGCAAGTCATATGTTTTTCACCTAGACAAAATAAGCACCATAGGGCACATGTATCAAAGAAAAGGGAAATCCAAATGAATTACATTTTTAAACAGCCTTAATCCTATTTGGTCAGGAGCAAAGTTTCCTAAAAACTAAAGTGCTCGCTTCTGGTGCCTATCATCAAATTACTGCAGAATATTCTACCATGCCTTGACTTCTCCTGTAAGTAGAATCCAAGAATGATGATGTCTTAGTGGAGACGGTATCTAGGAACTTTAAGAACAACAACAAAAGAGTTGCCAAGTTGCTAAGAGAGTAAATCACAGTAGTTCTCCTCACAAGAAAAAACAAAATACGTTTAACCATGTATGGTGATGGATGTTCACTAGATTTATTGTGGTGATCATTTTTCAATGCATATAAATGCTGGCTTATTATACTTATGCTTAAAATGTATATAATGTTATATTTCAGTTATATTTCAATTAAAAAATTACAAAGCAAAACAAAAAACACAAAAACCTAGTGTGGGTGTATTTTCCTTCAGCAAATGTTTTCTTAGAAAACAAAGAAAAGCAAGAAACCAGAGAATAATGGTGAGAAGGAATCAATAGATTCTAGAGAAACATAGCCTACACATTTAGGTGAAATTTAGTGTGATTGACAAGAAAAGAAAAAGGTGGACATAACAACTGATTTTATCATGAGTGTACCCCTCCTACCATCTTTTTGTAGTTACTTATTTAGGTCTTCAGTGTAGATTAGATTAGCTTTCTTGTTAGGTTCCGGTCTTTTTTTATCCATGGTTGTTCAGCAGTGAAGTTATGATTTTGCTGTGGTTATGACAGAAGCTCAAAGTCCTTCTACTCCACCATCTTGTCCAAATTCCAGACATAGCAACTGAAAGAGTAAAGTTAGATTCAGCAGGAAGAGGTGGAGAGGCTGTATTATGGAAATGACTTAGGGAGAGAGGGAGAGAAAGAATTATGACAAATAGAGTATTCAGCTTGTTTCCTCAGATATGTTTTGCTCACATTTTTCATCTTTCTCAGACTTCATGCCTACAAAAGAACAAGACAAGTGAGCAAATATTTTGAATGACTATACTATGCAATACATAATAAGGAATGACTTAAGGAAGATACATTTATTATTAATTACACCTACAGCCCGTAGGGTCACAAATAATTGGACATGACTAAAATGACTTAACATGCACAACATAAGTTAGCATGTGCTATAAGAAAGGGAAAGAATAATGCTATCTGTGTTGTCTTTAAAGGCTTCAGAAAGGAGTTAATAGATGAACTAAATTTTGAAAATGGGTAGGACATTGACAGTTGATTATGTGGATACAGAGCATTGCAAGCAAGAGGAAGGGTTATTTCAGAAACAGGAAGCATTCTATAAGGGCTATGCCCTAGAGTATTAGATCTACAGCAGGACATTCACATAAGAAGTATGGGTAATAAAGTAGGGTGGGATTAAATGACAAGGAGCTATGAAAAATTCATTTTTGTCACAAAATTAGTCATTGAAGGTTTTTAAGTAGGAAAACAATAAGATCAGGTAAGATCAGTAAAATTGTCAGTGTGGAAGACAGAAAGAACAACCAGTAGCAGACAGTTGAAATACTCATAATTGCTGGTAAGGAGGACATGAGCAAAAGCAGAATTGGCAGGATAGAGATACAGAAAAAGAATAAAGGATATGGAAGAGGTAGTTTGAATAGGATTTGCTCACTTGATAGGAAAGAAAGGAAGAGAGAAGAATTGATGACTCAAATATTTGGAGTCTGAGCAATGAGAATATGTTGTTTCTGGTTTTGGACATGGCTTTGGTTAAAGATGTATTGGATGGTGCAGCATGTGCTTAAAAACTTGAGTTTGAATTTTTAGAAACATGGATGTGCAAGGCACTTGCATCAAAGTTACATTTAGAATTGAATGAGTGTGCAGTCCAAAGAAGAACAGGAACAATAGACAATTAAAAAGACAGGAGCTAAATCATAAGGATAAAGGGAAGCAAATAGAGGCAGATGATAGTGAAGTCACCTCTTCAAATATGTATTTTTTAATAATGTTTTCCATACCCTTCTCAGCAAAACTTCAGTTTTGAAATTTTGAAATATCAGTCAATTAAATTTTGTACTTTGAAGTTCTTCCAGGGCACTGTAAAGATTAGTTGACCTCACAGATATTCATCAGTGAATCTCAAGAAGTGCTTCATATACTGCAGTGGTGCTCTTTGATGTTGTGTTCAAGAAAACTGCAAACTCTATGTAGACTTGTGAGTCTAAAGGATGTAGTTGTAAGGAATAAGGCTGTTGATTTAAGGAGAAAAACATTTTTCTCTTGGTGATGAATACCAGATTCTAAAACAGAAATCAGTCCTAATACACTCACATACTTATTGATGTGCTGCTTGAGGATGGGAAATATTTGCTGAAAAAATTTAACAAGTATTTTCTGACACAGTCATAATAAATGCCAATTTTATGGTAATTAACAAGGAGGTGGAACATGAATAAACCCCCCGAAAAAATTCAGACCTCTATTCTCAGTCAAGACTTCCTATCTTTTTTTCCTCCTTTTCCAACTCTCTCTCTCTCTCTCTCTCAAATGCAGTGAGGCAATGTGAAGGCATGGGCCTTGCAGGTACTGAGTCTGGGAGTCAAGAGCTAAGGCCTGTCCTATAGGCTAGACTTGGAGACCCAGGACAATGCATTTCACACATGCATCTGTCTGTGTGAAATGAAGAGACTGATCTCAATATGCATCTGATTTTGCCACTCCTCTTCACAATAAAAACACATTAGTCAGAATTGCCCACCATCTTCCTAACGAGAAATTTCAGTAGAGTTTATTATGCTTTGCTTTATCCAGAAATATTCTCTAACCTTCATAGTCTCTGAAGAATTACTTCCCAGAAGAATGAGAAACCAGCAGGAGAAAGAACTCACTTTCTCTTAGGACATCTCAGTGGAATCCTCTCCTGCCCTTCGTTTCCAATGCTTTGGCTCTTCCTTATGTCTCCATGGTGTATGGAAAGACACAATGCTGTCATACCTAACCATCATGCAATACTCCCAGCCAAGACCACCAAGAACGCTCACTTATCTGCCTGCCCCACAGAGCCCAATCAGACCTAATCATATCCCCGGCTAGGCTAACCCACCATGTGCCTCCACCACTGTTCATCATGGCATCAGAGACTTACATCCTCCACTAGCTTTCACTCATCTGGCTCATGGAAATAGTTGCTTATATTTTTTGCTTAATCAGTGGGGTTTTACTCCAGTGAATGTTACTTGAGCCAAACCAGACTTGCCTAGTTTAAAGACTAGAAGAGTTCCAGAAGCATTTTCATGGTTTTGCCTTTCTTATTTCTGAAGGACTCATAGAAGCTATAGTTAGGGTAATAATGAATTTGGGCATAGCATTAAACATTGAACTTATTCTTTTGCTACATTATCCCAGTTCTCAAAATCGTGAAGTTAGCAGTCATTCTAGAGGCATCTCTCCCCATTTCTAATCAACTTGATGAAGGTATTTTGAAGGGAAAAGATCCAAAATACTGGGTCAAGTAGAGTGAACATGAAACCATCGTGCAGAAATTGTTAGCAAATAGTCTATAAGCCTTGTACACATGCATTTTGTGTCACTTTTTCTTATATTGCTCTTTTGCTTGGCTTTCTTTCCCCACCAGTGGTAATTTGTTCTTATGGAATGTTTTTCATTCTTAGAAATTGTGTTATTTCATAGTAATTACTTGAACACAAGCTTGACAATCTCTGAAAGTCTTATTTGTGTCATATTAGTCTCACTCAGTCTTTCTGTGAATGATGTAGTCATCTACCTTAATATTTCAATGCTTTAATTATGATGAAAAATATAGAATAAAATAAGATCATTTGTAAAGAGCTACACAGATGACTGCCTTGAGTGATATTTTTCTCTGCTTTTACTTGTTTGCCATTGTCAAGAATCTTGGAGAAATAAAGCCTTCAGGAGGCAGATAATATTGCAAAAAGCAAAAGGAGGTTTTCTCTAGATAAACATTGGATAAATTGTTACTAAGTAATCAGGAATTAGCCATGGAAGAACTTTGGTATTCACGTTAATGCTGTGAATAAACAAATAGTTCCCATATTTAACACATGTATTCTTTAAAATCTCTTTTCAGATTATAATGATTTCTTTTAAAGAAAATGTTCATATAATACTCAAGTTGTATACAGATATTTTCTTCAGTATAGAGTATATCTGACACAAGACTTCAAATTTTTATCTAAATAAGAGGAAATGCCTCAAAAACTATGTGCAAATAAAGATTTGTACAGATAGAAAAGTGACAAGTGTAACTTGAAAACCTGTTTTAGAAAACAGAAAGATGATCTCCTCCATTGTAAATCAATCCATTTCACAGAAGTCATTGGGTTTCTGTGCATCATAGTGAGTTTTGTCCAACCATTTGCAAAGAACAAATTCAGATATCCAGACACACGATACTCTGCTGCTTTGGTAAATGACCCCTTTCCTATGAGCTCAACTTCGATCTACACTCAGTTACCTGAAGTCCTCATGGGTGAAATGTGAATTTGCAGGATGAAAGCTGTAGGAACAAAAAAGAGAAAGATTTGCAAAGGATTATTTTCTAAAGAGAAAAGTGTTCATGTGCAAACTTAAGCTAGGCTGGACTACAGGTTTTCCTATCACTTAAGACCTAAGACTATAAGAGTATGACGTGTGTGTGTGCCGTCATGCCCAACTCTTTGAGACTCTGTGGACTGTAGCCCACCAGGCTCTTCTGTCCGTGTGACTTTTCAGGCAAGTGTACTGGAGAGGGTTCCCATTTCCTCCTCCAGGGGATCTTCCCAATCCAAGGATCGAACCCACATCTCCTGCATTGCAGATGGCTTCTTCACCTGCTGAGCCTTCAAGGAAGCCCAAGATCATGACAGTGTATAAGAAAAAAAAATCTAATCCAGTAACAAATAATAATTAGCACTGGAGAGAACCATTTAAAAAAAAGCCCTCAAGTGTAAAGTAGTGGGGAGTGAAGCAGATTGGGAAGGGAGACAAACAAACCAGAAACAAAACTAGAGATCTTTGTTCACTGGGTGGAGAATTGCTCACTGGGCTTTTCTGGTGCCACTCAAATTGTAAAGAATCCACTCGCAATGCAGGAGACCGGGGTTTGACAGAACGACTAACACTAATACTTTTCTCTCTGAATCACAAACAGATATTTTAAAAATTTCTTTATACTCTTGTGTGCTGTCCAACTGTTCTCCTTCAGGTAATTTGGACTCCAACATCTAAAGTTTTGCTTAATCTGAAAGAGAATCTCAGCATCTTAATTAACTGGTAGAGCAGTTACAGTCTCAATATGCATGTCTGTGTGTGTGTGTGTGTCTGTGTGAACATTGAACTGGTGAAGTCAAATTCTAGAAAGACTACTAGCTTTGTGTGATTGGTTTGAATAGGAAGCCACAAACATCCAAGCCCTCCTCCAGTTTTTCCTAATTGGTCCATTTGTAAGAACTGTGTATATTCCTGAAACAAAAAATGCAAGAGATTTTAAAGCTTATGTCTTGCCGATAGAGCTTCCTATTAAAACCATTTTTCTTATCTTTATCCATCTTTTAACTAATTATCTAAATGGAAATAACAATGAAGATATCATTTGTATCTATATTTTTATCCTCCCCAATGTCTGTACAGCTTAGATAATATAAAAGAAATTATATTAAACAAGTTCTTTGAAATGTAAATATCATATATACCAGAATTGTACTGCCCTACTATTGTAGACTTCACAAAGGAACTTATACAATTAATGCCATTACAACTGTGATTTATTTCATATCATCCAACTCTATGCCCTATACATATATAGAGGCCCATGAATCAGTATGCCCTGATATTAACACTGATAAATCAAAAGAGCGCAAACTGCCCTCAAGCTGGGGTGATTTTGGAGACTATTTGACTTTCTAGTAACGTTTCATTGAAAAAAAATGACCAAGGATTTGGAATTATACTGGATAATTTTGCCAACATGTTCCTAGAAAGGATTAACCAATGTAGTATAATGTCTGAATTGAGTCTATAGAGTTGTTTTATTTGAGAGAATAAGGCTTCTGTGGAAGGTGATGAAGTGCCACATAGGTGGCATTCATACTCCCTGGAAAACACTAGAAATCAACTGAGCACCTGTTTTAAGGGGGAGATTTTTTGCCGTTAAATTGTTTTCTAAGCCTGGGAACCCCTCTTTCGGGACCTAACTTTTCTTTAGTCTGATGTTTTCACATACTAAGCTCCAAGAAGCATTTTCAAGTATTTTTTTGTGTGTTCTGTGGCTGCAAAAAAAAGTGAAGCAGCTGATACAATTTCACCAAAGTTCATTTTAGAGCACAAGTTTCTTATTTGCTGGATAAAGAGTGAATGAAGACATATCATTTAGGTGAATTGGTATTTATAACATACGTAATTGTGCTTTCAAGATAAAATTATATTTTAGCAGATGCATATCAGATGCACTTAGATTAAACTCCACAGAGGACCAACATCTACGCTAAACACTTAAGTATTTTTGTTCAATAAACAAACATTTAGAGAGGTCATATCATGCATGTGGCAAATTAAATATAATATTGGGACTCTTCTTACTATGAGTAAGTGTGGAATATTAGAGTATTTGTACCAAAAATGCATGATATTAAAAAAGTAAAATTTTGTTATGATAGAGATTGGTAAGGGGAAACTGTATTTTATTAATAATTTTATTTTGCTCCCTCTAACTACTTGAAGTTTGCTTCCTAATAGTATTAACCTCAGAAATTTAACAAAATGATCAATATCTTCTACTTAGGAGCCCTGGTTAAAATAGCTAATAAGCAATCTAAAACATACAACACCCTGGAATTAGATGTTTTATTTTAACAAGCTGCAGAATTTGAAAGCTGGCAATATCCAGGTGTGAACCACTATGAAAATTGGTCTGATATAATTAAACTATATTGAGTAATATATACAGTTTTTGAGATGTCTGATTATGTTCCACTTTTTTTCTTTTTCAGCAAAAAGAAGGATCATTTTTTTGAGAAGCATTTGAATTTCCTCACCAGCTGCATTTCTGTTTTATGCTTTTATTAGGCATTCCAGCATGCTCGCGGCCGTCTTTGTGTGTGTACATATGTGTGTGCACATGCAGTCACGCACATGTGTGTGCAAGGATGACTTTTCCAACATTATGTTTTTAAATCTGACAAGGTCATATAAGCTGGTAAAAAAAAAAAAAGCAAAGGGTCATCAAAAGGGGAAAAATAACAGAACTACAGTGAAATGGCTCTCTGTCGGCCTTGGTATTGATTCAGAGCGTGTCAAAAGGGTCTTTTGTCATGCCCCTACCACAGCATACTAATTTGCTAGATCAAGTCTGTCAGAATATCGACTGGAAGTAAAGAACTACAGTGGCAGCTTTTGTGTTTCCTGCAGCAGGGAGCCTGTGTGTGAAACAGGATTATCAGGGGGTCATGAAGAGAGTCAAAGGATGTCCATCACTTCCCTCCTGGTAATGTAATGGGGCGGGCGCCTGGGTGTGATTAAGATGTAGGAGACGGGAGGCATAGCGGTGAACAAATCAGAAACACACACATGCAAATCAGGTTGGCTGCTGTTAACCACATATTTTTAATGAAAAATTCAATAGCAGACCCAACACATATCTAAACAGCTGCATTCAGCTAACCTATCAAATGGCCTATTCAACATCTTTTCTTGAAAAGCAAATATACAAAACATGGAAATGCTTATCAGGTCTGCATTTTTCTTTAAATATCACTTTGCAATCTACAAGTGTTTCTTCGGCATTCTGTGTGCTCCTGGCACAACTATCAGACTATTAAATATCAATTCGGATTTTTTTTTTGTAAAATAATATATAGTATTTACCATGTCACAGCTCAGCCTTACCATCACCGTTGGTATTATAGAGTTTTGGCTTGTTTCTTTTCACTGGCTTTGTTGCATTAGCAAAATAGCTTCCTTGAGTGGAAAAAGATGTATGATGGAAAATTCAGTTTTGTACAAATACTGATGCTCAGGAAGATGCTTTGGAATTATAATAAATGTATAGGACATAGATATATGTATATCTGTGTATAGGACATAGATATAAAACATCATTTTATCTATGTAAAGAATTTTCATATTAGAAGCTAAGTTTTTCTTCTGTCATCTTTATTTCTACTTCATTAGCACACAGCACTGGCTATTTATTTTTTTACTCATTCAAGAAATTCTGTTTTAAGTTTCCACTCTCTGCCAGATGCAGGCTACATTGCTAGACTACAGAAATGAGTTAAGCAAGTACTCTGCCTTGAAAGCTAATCAATAGTATGGAGGCACAAAGCATTTATATTTGTAATATTCCCGATGTCTGTATCACAGTATAGACTAACTATCGTAAAAAGAGCTAGTATGCCACTGAATAGTTTGTGGAAGTTTGTTGATTGGCCCTGCCTTAAATAAGCTTGTAGAGATGTAGTGTGGAGTTGAAAGATTTCTAGATTGTGTTTCCAGCTAGTCCAGCTCACGTTATAGTAGAGGAATAAGGCCTATTGATTACAAAAACTTGTCTCCCACCCAAAACACCTGACTGGAGCCACATACCTGAAGGTCTCTGGTTCCTATCTTAACATTACCATTGTGGTCGCCACTTAATGGGAGTCTTCCGTTATCTGAAACAACCTGTTATTTGCCTTGCTAATGCCTGATGAGAGAAGCTGCTGTCTTAGCTCATGTTAACGAACCCTGTGGATATAACTGTGGAGAAGAGATGTTTATCTAGTCAGTATTGGATAATGCAGGAAGAGAGACATGACCTTATGTTCCCTTCAGAGAGTAGTTATTTTGTTTGTTTGTTTGTTTTGCTTTGTTTTTCCCCTCTTAATCCAGCTCATCTTGGTTTTCCACCAAGTCATTCATTCTGAGCTTTCTCTGCTAGAATGTGTTCCCTCTTAATGTCAGTCTTGCAAAGGTGGAAGTCCTGGATTTCTTTCCTTGTCTCTTTCTGAACCCTATATCCATATGATCTTCTTCATGGCTGTGAGTTAAAGCCCTTTATAAATACAGTACATCCAATTATACATCTCTGCTCCAGGGCCCTCGCTTCACACCTCATTGGGACCTTGACCTCTTGGATCCAAAACTCATTTCTCTCCCATCCTTCCTCATCTCAATAAATGTATCACCAAATATTCTGTTGTGAAGACAAATAAAAATTTAAAGAGGGAAGAGAGATGCCTGCTTAATTCTTGATTCTTTGAATTTCCTCACCCTTACCAGGCAGAGGCAATCCATCAACAAATGCTGAAGGGCCTACTTACTTCTAAGAGGGATCTTCAGTATGTCTCTTTTCCTCTACTCCATCACCACTACTCTAGCTGAAATACCAACTCTCATCTGTGTTATTACAACAGCCTCCTATCTGGTTTCCCAGTATTCACTCTTGCCCCTCTACAATTCATTTTTCAGTTATCTTTTCAAAATATAAATCTAAAAACCTTTTGGATCTAATAGCATTTTGCTACCACCAATCTATTTGGCTCCCTCAATGAGATTTTTACCTCTAGGTTTTCCACCATTGTAAAGCCAGATTTGACCTACCCAACATGGTACTTTGCAGCAATCAAATTTCTTCTATAGTGTTCTCTGATTATTTTATAGGCTAAAGTCACAATTGTTCAGTTCAGTTCAATTCAGACTCTCAGTCGTGTCCAACTCTTTGTGCCCGCATGAACCGCAGCACACCAGGCCTCCCTGTCCATCACCAACTCCTAGAGTCCACTCAAACCCATGTCCATTGTGTCGGTGATGCCATCCAACCATCTCATCCTCTGTCGTCCCCTTCTCCTCCTTCCCTCAATCTTTCCCAGCATCAGGATCTTTTCAAACGAGTCAGCTCTCTGCATCAAGTGGCCAAAGTATTGGAGTTTTGGCTTCAAAATCAGTCCTTCCAATGAACACCCAGGACTGATCTCCTTTAGGATGGACTGGTTGGATCTCCTTGCAGTCCAAGGGACTCTCAAGAGNTTATGTTTTAGCATACTTAATTCTGTCTTAACTATAGAAATAATGAAAAATGAATTAAAAGTTGAAGTGATCATTTGAAACCAGGCTGCTGCTGCTGCTGCGGCTAAGTCGCTTCAGTCATGCCTGACTCTGTGCGACCCCATAGACGGCAGCCCACCAGGCTCCACTGTCCCTGGGATTCTCCAGGCAAGAACACTGGAGTGGGTTGCCATTTCCTTCCTTCTCCCATGCATGAAAGTGAAAAGTGAAAGTGAAGTTACTCACTAACGTCCGACTCTTAGCGACCCCCTGGACTGCAGCCTACCAGGCTCCTCCGTCCCTGGGATTTTCCAGGCAAGAGTACTGGAGTGGGTTGCCGTTGCCTTCTCTGAAACCAGGATAGATGTGTATAAAAGTAGGCTGAACAGCTTTGAAATTTCCCCTGGCAAAATTGAAATTGGGGAGCTTTGAGGCAAACAACCTCTAGGTTCAGCTAGGATATAAAGGGAAATGAATAAATATTATAAGACCAAGAGCAGAGAGTAATTTTCATGATTCTTTGACACTCTAGAGGAAGAAATGCAACTCAGTCTAATGGCGTGAGTCAGGCTCTGCCAGCTCAGACACCTGAGACTCCTGCCTTCCATAGCATAGCCACCCCCAGCAAATTAGAAGAGTCATAGTGACGATAGCCTATGGAGAAAAAATGTATACACACAAATGTAAAAGAAAGTTAGAATTGTTGGGAAAATAAGATAATATATGATGCTTTATTTAAAAAAGCTCACTCAGTGTCTGTAAAATATGATCAATTTAGACCAAATAGCATTAGTCAGCATTAGGCTGGTTTCATGTCATTTATGGCTTCACTGGCGGCTCAGATGGTAAAGAATCTGCCTGCAATGCAGGAGACCTGGGTTCAGTCTCTGGATCGGGAAGATCTCCTGGAGAAGGGAATGGCTACCCACTCTAGTATTCTTGCCTGCAGAATCCCATGGATGGAGGAGTCTGGCAGGCTACAGTCCATGGCGTCACAAAGACTCAGACATAACTGAATGACTAAGACACAAACATGTCATTTATAACCAGTATTTCAAGGTGAGCTAAAGTCCAAAGAGGTGTTTTCTTTGAAGTTCTTTTTTTTTAATCCTTTTTTTCAATCACATTGAATAAGATGTGAAGGACTTTTCTTTCTATGCTTCATGACTTCCTATGATCATGAATCCTAACTATATTGGAATGTTCACAAAAATATGATCCATGATTTCTCAAATGAGAACAGTTTCTAAAAGTTAACCGCCAATTTAAAAGGCCCCCTGAGCAGATTTGTGATGATCATTAACATTTTTACTTATTAATTTTTAAATATGAAGTTCTTTTGGTTATGCCACATTCCTAACTGGGTTTCCAAATGTTCATCCATGTTCCAAGGAGTTAATGGAAAATATTAGTGGAGAGAAGGAAAATTCAGGCACACACTGAACTTCCATTTGTGAGAGCAAGTTAGGTCCCCAGAATCCAATCCCTTTTGAAAGGAGATCAAAGCCACACAACTCAACACGTGTTTGCGATATCTAATTTATATCAGGACTGGATGAATCCAGATGCTCATTGGGTCCAACATCTTGAACTATTTCCCAAATGTTAGAGACTTAATAAAATCTAAACTCCACCTGGCACCTTTAGGTTAATTTTAAAGCAATCATTATTCCCCAGGAAACTGAAAACATGTGTTTCTGATTTGTTCACACTTAAGTCATCAAAATATTATTTTGCAAAGTGATTTGATATCCAAGAAACCTGTTGGATGCTTTTTTCCTGGAAAGTAAGAAATTTGGTTTTGCCTAAGGAATTTGGCTAATTCTTCTGTTCCAACAGTCTTCTGGGGTCATCATGAGGCAGATAGATCCCTTAAATGACACCTAACCAGTAGCCTGGCTCATGGCAGGCTGTGCAGCCTTCTGCATCAAACTACCACCACCACTACTACCACACACACACACACACACACACACACACACACACACTCACGCTCACACCCCAGACTCCTCAAACCAAGAAACACAAATACTCCATCTTCCTCAGTATGCAGTGTCATCCATAAGGGAAGATCTCCAAGTCCTAGTGGAGAGACATGAGCTTAGCTACAGTCTGCATTTATCCACTTAGTAGCTCTGAGCTTTTTGAGAAGACTCTTAACCTCTTGGGGCTTGTCTACCTCATCTGAAAAATTCTGATGAGAAATACTATCACTTATTGCAGGAATTAGGCTAAAGACTTTCCCAGCAACTTTTTTTTCCTAGAAAACACTTATTAAAAAACTCAGAGTGCTCTAAAGCACAATTCCAGATGTGGTAGGATGCAGCAGAAGTGACAGTGGATATGCCTGTTTTTAATTAAAATGAGACTATCAAAACAGAGGAAAACTTATTTTTAAGAACTTCCAGTAAATCAGCCAGAAAACTGACAGAGCATTTACAATACAGATTCCAAGGGATTCTGAGTCCTAAAATATTATTGGATAATAGTCTCCCTAACCTTGGGTCCGTCCTTTTCCTGATCCTTCTGTAGTCTATTTTCCAGACAGAAACCTATTTAAAAAAAAAAAAAAAAGAAATCACATTATGTTACTCCCATATGTAAACATCTCAATGGCTTCTTATTATACCCAGAAAAAGTTGATGTTTTTATCCACCACCTAGAGGAAGATCCTACTAGATCTGGGCCCTGGCCACCTGCCCAACCTCTTCTCATGCCACTGTGCCCTCTGCACTTGATACATGAGCTTCCTGGTCCCAAACACACTTAGGTCTTTGTTTTTGCTTCTCCGTTTGCCTGCAATATGCTCCTTTATGACCCCACGACTAACTCCTTCCCTTCATTCAATTCTATGCTCAAATTATACCTACCCCAGCGGGGAACTCCCTAACTTCCATACCTATATGCTTATTCTATTTTTACTTTTCTTCAAACATTTCTGACCCTTTCCATGATTTTCTGTCTCTTTGATAGTTTATAGTATGTTTGTCTTTTACCCCAAGTACCACAAACCATGCCAGATTTAGGTTAAGAAGTATTTGTTGAATAAAGAAAAAGGCTCACTTTAAAAATCCATGTTAAAAAAATAAAAATCCATACAAAATTTACACTAGATATTATTTTTTTTCATCCTGACAACACTATGAGATAGGTACCATTATTATCTCCATTCTACAGATGAGAAAATGAAAGCACAGAAAGATTAAGCAATTTTCCCAAGTCTCCCCAGCTGCTAAGTGGTGGAGCTAGAATTCATATCCAGGGAAGCTGGCTTCAAAGACCACGTCTTTTATAATTATACTAAAACTGCCTCAGTGGTGGTGGATAATAAGTGAAGAAAGCATCAAAAACTGGGAGAATAAGAAATTCATTCAAAAGTACTATTTAGGAAAGTTTAAAGGGGAGGAAGAGATTAAAGCATAGATACCAGTTCAAAGGCTTTTCAAGTAGTAGGGGGAAAATGTCATAAAGACCTCAACTTAGATCATGGCCAAAGAAAGAACTGAGAGCAGCTTAGAAACTGTTTAAAGAGTGAAATTGATGTTTGTTAGCAAACTGCTGGATGTGGGAGCATGGGAAAAGATAGAGTCAATAATGACAATGTTTTTTTAAGTGATAGAAAAAGATGAATTTTCTTTACCAAAAAGAAGAACCCAGAAGGAAGTGAAGGAAGAAGAATTATGCTTTGTGGAAGCTTGATGTCCATCTCAACTGAAAATGTAACAAGTCATTTGAAAATGTAGGGCGAGGACTATGGAGATCACAAGATGGGATTTAAAGGTTTGGGAGTACTCCACAAAGCCTTCAAAGCTCAAGCCTTGAGTTGAATGCTCTTTCCAATGGATAAAATATAAAAGGAAAAACAAAATCATCAAAGAAGCACGTGGACTTGTGCATTTAGAGGAAGGTAGAAGACTGAATTAAAGAGCTCATTTGAAAGGTACTGAGAAAACTGTCAAGAAAACCAAGGGAAGAGATGAAAGATCAACAGGAATGCTTGAAATGCAGTAAAAAGCTTGCACAGTGCTAAGGAATTGTCATTTTATTTAATGACTACATTGAGCTTTTATCCAGTGTTTATGGAACAGTTCTAGCAGAATAATGCAGATAAAAGCTATATGGTGAAGGATAGAGGGCAGTGTGGTAGGTAAAGGAAGTAGCAACACAGAAGGCAACCTAGACTCAAGGTGTGGTAGCAGAGGGAACATGAGCGGATAATGAATGGAGCATATGGTAAGGTCATGATGTGGCTTTAATGATGGAGAGCTTGAAGAACTATAGGATGGGGAAAGGATAAATAGAAAAGAATGATCTGAATATGGGGATAATAATCACCTCTAATGAGCACTTGGCTTTCACAGATGGCACAGTGGTAAAGAATCTGCCTGCCAAGGCAGAAGACACAAGAGATGCAAGTTCAATCCCTGGATTGGGAAGGTCCCCTGGATTAGGAAATGGCAACCTGCTCCAGTATTCTTGCCTGAAAAACCCCACGGTCAGAGGAGCCTGGCAGGCTACAGTTGATAGAGTCGCAAAGAGTTGGACACGACTTATTGACTGAGAACGCACAATGAGCACTTACTATGTCCCAGATACTACTGTGATATGCCTGGATTTTCCCTTTTCCATGACATTAATAGGTTTCATTAAGCATAAGAGAAAACAGAGGCACCATGAATTTTTAGGTAAGTTGGCCAGAATCACATGGACAGTAACGCACAGGGCTACAGTGATTCCATAGCCAGAGCTCCTACCTGTCATGAATCCATCTCCTTAGAGCCAGTGGGAAGCCCAGGAAAGAACCAGGAGAGGTGCCCTGGAAGAAAAGTCACCAAAATATTAATACTGAGTGCTCTTAGATAATGGCATATAGACACATAGGGGAGAAAGAAGGTAGCATTTCAATATTGATGTTATTTTTATTTTACACAATGAACAGAGTTATAAACAACATCAAGGCTAAAAGTGACAGTCCGAATTTAAATGATGGGATTTTTGTCTTAGTTCAAACTCTATCCCATCAACTATATAAATAAACTTAATTATGAAAGCAGTTCAGTTCAGGTCAGTCACTCAGTCATGTCCGACTCTTTGCGACCCGATGAACCACAGCAGGCCAGGCCTCCCTGTCCATCACCAACTCCCAGAGTCCACCCAAACCCATGTCCATCTAGTCAGTGATGCCATCCAACCATCTCATCCTCTGTTGTCCTCTTCTCCTCCGGCCCTCAATCTTTCCCAGCATCAGGATCTTTTCAAATGAGTCAGCTCTTCGCATCAGGTGGCCAAAGTATCATAGCAAAAAATTTAAACTATAATACTAAGATGTAGCCTGAAAAATGTAAAATGTTTTGGCAACTCCAGTTTGACTTCTAAAAAGTGATTTCTGGAAATAATCTGTATGTGTTCTATGGAAATCTATGCATTTTAAGTGATATATATGTATGTTTGTACATATCTCCATACACTGACTTTAAAAAGTGAACAAAGCTACAAATATTTTGGACAGTGATATTTTCCACATCACTACTTACTTTTCTGAGCAGCTTCATCCTAGTTTCTGTATGACAATAATATATTTAATGAATGTCTTACTACTGTACATTTACTTTTTGATAATTTTTACATATTACCTTTGCAAACCATGACAATGAACTCTTCACAAACTTTTCTTGTTGTTATAAACCATGACAATGAATTCAATGCTATGTAATTTTGTGGGAAAATCCTAGACTAATAATTACATTTTAAATTTGTATGAAAGAGAAAGTCATTCAGTCGTGTTCGACTCTTTGTGACTCCATGGATTATAGAGTCCATGGAATTCTCCAGGCCAGAATACTGAAGTGGGTAGCCTTTCCCTTCTCCAGGGGATCTTCCCAACCCAAGGACTGAACCCAGGTCTCCAGCATTGCAGGTGGATTCTTTACCAACTGAGCCACAAGGGAAGCCTAAGCATACTGGAGTGGGTAGCCTATCACTTCTTCAGTGAATCTCCTCACCCAGGATTCGAACTGGGGTATCCTGAATTGAAGGCAGATTCTTTACCAACTGATCTATCAGGGAAATTTGTATAGAGCATACCAAATTCCTATCCACAGAGGTTGTTCCACTTTCACCATGAGACAGTCTGTTGAACCATCCCTTATCAAATTTGTGTTGCCAAACTTTTTAAGCTTTGATGATCTGCTTTGCATAAACTTGCATCATTTTACTTTGTGCTTATATTTGTTGTTGTTCTTCAGTCTCTCAGTCACATCCCACTCTGTGTGACCACATGGACTACAGCATGCTGGGCTTCCCTGTCCTTCGCATCTCCCAGAGCACTCTCAGACTCATGTCCATTGAATCAGTGATGCCATCCAATCATCTCATCCTCTGTCTTCCCCTTCTCCTTTCAATCTTTCCCAGCATCAGGGATTTTTCCAATAAGTCAGCTCTTCACATCAGGTGCCCAAAGTATTGGAACTTCAACTTCAGCATCAGTCCTTCCAATGAATGTTCAGGACTGATTTCCTTTAGGATTGACTGGTTGGATCTCCTTGCAGTTCAAGGGACTCTCAAGAGTCTCCTCCAACACCACAGTTCAAAAGCATCAATTTTTCAGCACTCAGCTTTCTTTATNTGCTTTTTCTATGACTGGAATTCGATCTCTGGTTCCTCTGCATTTTCTGAATCCAGCTTGTACATCAGGAAGTTCTCAGTTCACATACTCTTGAAGCCCAGCTTGGAGAATTTTGAGCATGACCTTGCCATTATGTGAGATGAGTGCAATCATGTGGTAGTTTCAACATTCATTGGCATTGCCCTTGTTTGGGATTGGAATGAATTCTGACCTTTTCCAGTCCTGTCACCACTGCTGAGTTTTCAAATTTGCTGGCACGCTGAATGCAGCACTTTAATCTTTTAGGATCTGAAATATCTGAAATCTGAAATTCAGCTAGAATTCCATCACCTCCACTAGCTTTGCTTGTAGTGATGCTTTCTAAGGCCCACTTGACTTCGCACTCCAGTATGTCTGGCTCTAGGTGAGTGATCACACCATCATGTACTTATATGGAATTTAAGGAAGAAATGATACAAGTGAACTTATAAAATAAAAAAGAAACAGATCCACAGCTATAAAAAACAAACTTGTGGTTACCAAAGGGAAAGGATGGAAGGGATAATTTAGGAGTTTGAGATTAACAGATACACAATACTATGTCTAAAATAGATACCCAACGAGGACCTACAGTACAGCACAGAGAACTCTACTCAGTTTTTGTAATAATGTTAAGGGCTTCCCTGGTGGCTGAGACAGTAAAGAATCCACCTGCAATGCAGGAGACCTGGATTCTATCCCCAGTTTGGGAAGATCCCCTGGAGGAAGGCATGGCAACCCACTCCGGTATGCTTGCCTGGAGAATCACCATGGAAGGAGGAGCCTGGTGGGCTACAGTTCATGGGGTTACAAAGAGTCAAACCCAACTGAGCAGCTGAGCAAAGCACATAAAGAAAAGAATCTGAAAAAAAAATTTATATGTATAACTGAGTCATTTTGCTGTTCACC